CTGAAAATGTTTCTCTGAGGCACTGAGGATTTGGCTTGAAGTAGATTGATCTCTGTGATCTTTCTAACTTGACAGCTTCAGTTTTCGGGAGGAATTAATTACTCTTGATGCAGATGGAACAGGTAGTTGAAATTCATGGAACTTCCTGTTTGTTTGTATCTGCCCTATTTGTCACCATACTTTTTCTGTCACCTTATCACATTAAATAGCTATCTCTGTTTCAGAAAATCACCCATATTTTACATTTAAACTCTCATCACTTTATTTAATCATCTACCATCTGCAATATACTTGGGTTTGCCTAATTCATTTTGTGTTCTTGCAGAATTCCAACTAAGGAATCTTTCTTTAGTAAGTGACTTTGACTTTGTCTTTAAAAGATCCAGAGCATTTTAATCTGACTTGGATGGGTATCTCCAGTGTCTCTAATTTCTTTTTACTACTTTTCCACGGGAATAAACAAAACAAAACAGAAAAGGAGAAATACAATGGACCTTTTTAAACCATGGTGTTATATTTTAGACCAGTTGGGTGCTGTAGAAAAGTAAAATAAGAACCATCCAGAGTACCCTATTCCTGAAAAAACAACAGCGATAGCCATGCATCTCAATGAAGCTGTCTTAATGTGCTGTAGCAATAACTGATTTTTCTTGAGGGAATATGGAAGACATCTAGCTGGTGACAGTAGAAAGAAAAACATGGCAGAAGTAGCAGTCTGCATTAGAATTTAAAGTGATTAAAACTATATATATTAAGAGATACAATTTAATGCTACTAGTGAACTACTGCTTACTAATTAGAAACTTTCCCTTATCACATAATATTGACCATGAAACCATGGGGTTAGAGAAAAAGTAGTAGAGCTATCAGAAAGTATTTATATGAACTTGTATATATGCATATTAACACATGCATACATAAATGTTATATGTATAACATATAATACTTATACAGAGAGAAAGATATGCATAACTCAAAATTCAAAATTTTAATCATTTTGAAGTATACACTTTTGTGGCTTTAAATATATTCATACTGTTGTGCATCAATCACTACTATTCATCTCCAGAAAACTTTTATCATACTCAACTGAAATGCTGTAGCCTTTAAATAACTACATTCCCTGTCCCCAAACCCCCAAACCCCTTACCCCCTCCCCCCTCACCCCAGCCCTGAAATCTACCATCTTACTTTCTGGTACTATTAATCTGACTACTCTTCATTTTTAACCTCTATGAGTCCTCAGATCTAAAGTGAGTATTTTGTGGGCAACAATAGCTGAATCTGGTTACTTATAAACTTATTATTTAATCCATTCTGCCAATTAATGTGTTTTGTTTTAGGTGCATACTATTTTACTAGGGTTGTTATAATATAGAACCACACCACAGACTGAATCCATTAAACAGTAGAAATTTATCTTACCACAATTCTGGAGGTTAGGAATCTGAGTTCAAGTTATTAGCAATTGGTTTCTTCTGAGAGCTCTCTTTTTGACTTGACAGTTTTCTTCTTCTTTTGCCTTCTCATTGTATTTCCTATGTATGTTCATGTATTGATTTCCTCTTCTTATCAGGTCAGAATGAACTAAGGTTTGTCCCAAAGACTGCTTTTTAACTTACTTCCCTCTTCAAAGACCCTGTCTCAAGTGACAGTCACATTCTGAGGTATTGGTGGTTAGGATTTCAACATATACATTTTGTGGGGTAGAGGGACATGATTCAGCTGTAACAGGAAGTTTAATCCATTTATATTTAAAATAATTGTCTATAGAGAAATAGTTAGTTTTGCCATTTTATTTGGTTTCTGTTTATCTTAAGCATTTATTGTCTCTCATTTTTTCTCCATTACTGTTTTCCTCTGTGTTTAGTTTTTCTTTTGAGTCATACATTATATTTTCTTCAATTATTTTTGCATATTTTATGAATATTTTGTTTGTGGTTACCATGAAGATTATGTATAGAATCCTAAAATTATGACACTATCTTACATAAATTGACACCAACTTAACTTCAATCATATTCAAAAATTCTACTTTTTATAATTCTGACTTCTAATTTATGCTATGATGTCATAAATTACATCTTTATATATTATATATTCACACAGATTTTATACAATTTTCCTATATGGTAGAAAATAAAAAATGAAGGTGAAAATCAAAATTATTATGAAACTTTTAAAATTTTTTTTAGAAATTGACCTATAGTAGAGAACTTTTTATTTTCACGTGTCTTCAAGTGACTGTCTTGTGTCCTTTTATTTCAACTTGAATGTCTTCCTTTAGCATTTCTTGTAGAGCAGATATATTGTTAACAGCAATCCTCATCTTCTGTTTGCCTGGAATTGTCTTAATTTCTCCCTCATTTTTGTGGGATAATTTTACTGAATATAGAATTCTCAGCTGACAGTATTTTTCTTTTGGCACTTAGATATATTATTCTGCTGTCTTCACTTGCAAGGTTTCTGCTGAGAAATCAGCTGATACTCTTATTAGAGATCCCTAATTTGTGATAAATTGTTTTCATCTTCTTTCAAGATTCTCTCTTTTTATTTGACTGTCATAGTTTGAATATAATGTGTCTTGCTGTGACTTTCTTTGAGTTTATTCTACTTACTTGGAATTTATTTAGCTTTTTGGATTTGCATATTCACATCTTTTCTCAAATGTGGAAATTTTTAGTCATGATTTTTTCAAATTTATATTTATGATAGTGGTTTCAAATTTGTTGTCTAGCAAATTTGATGTATATATTTCTTTGAGGACCTATTCTAGAGATCTGTTTTTATCCTTTAAATGGGCCATGTTTCCCCCATTTTTTTGTATGCCTGGTGATCTTTGTTTAAAAAATAGTTGAGCATTTGGGAAGAATCAACCACCTCTTTCAGTCCTCACAGAATGAACTTAAAGACATTCACTAATTAATAAGCCTTTGGGCCTTGAGATCAACCTGGAAGGAAGACAAGGTCTTCTCAGGTCTTTTCTGGGTATGTGTTCTGTCTGGGTGTATGTGTGCTTTTGGTGTTTTGTTGTTGTTGTTGTTGTTGCTTTTCCTCCCTCAGCTGTTTTTACATGTCGAATATTACAAAAAGCCTCACTTGAGCTCCTTCTTGAGGCCTTAGATATTCGCCTGTATTCCTCTGCCTGTAAGTAGTGCTGCAGTTTTCTGCTCAGCAGCACTCACCACTGCCCCTTACAGTTTTCGGCCAGGGATCCAAACTATGCCACCATTCCCTTATCTGAGCTCTAAGCCAGGAAAGACAGAAATCTGTCTGTCAGAAGCCCAAAGAGACACGAGAATGTTGCCAACCAATTTATCTCTGCTACTCCTTTTTAGAGAGGAAAATGATAATTGGGCCGCATCTCAACTGAACCATGCCACAAGGGAGAATGTCATACAAGAGAGAATAAAAATGTCACAAAATTTTCTACTATTTTGCATGTGGCTTTTTTTTTCCCTTGGTCATTTCCTTGTTTGCTCTAGATATTTGGCTGATATCCAGGGCTCCATTACAATTATTTTAGTCCATTTATAGTCATTGATTTGATGTTTCCATGAGAAAGTGAGGATCTGAAACTTTTTAATCACACCATCTACTAATGTCATGGTCCAACTTGCTGAATTATTCTAAAACAATATTTTAAAAATTAAATTAGAAAAGAAAATTTGGAGTTCAATATGATTTTTGTAATGTACAGAAAAAAATAATTTTATATATTACTTAAAACTTAGAAATATAAATCTGGAAAAAATATAGATTAACTAATTTGGAATGGTGAAGTATTTACTGAGATTGAAATCACTTAATATATGGTAATAGGATTTTTACTTAATGAACGATATAGTCTTACCCATTTTTATTCCAATTTATCAGTAAAAATAAATTTTCTATAATTAATATTGTTTTATGTATTGTTCTAATCAAATTCTTTAGAGGTCCAACATCTACCTGATTTTTTTTCTTCATATGGAGTCATTTAAAATATATTTGAGAATATGTATATTTGTATGCTCATTTTTCTATTTCAAATTATAAAATCACCTATTCAAATAGATTTAAGTTATAAAAATATGAGTTATTCAATAGGAGATTCAAAATTAGGGTAGGTTCCTGAAGTGGCCAATTTTCTGCAATAACAATGAGATGAAAATTTCAAGTTCTTCATAGATTTCTTCTGTTCCATCCACACATTTGTCTCCAGTCTCCATCCTTGAATTATAGCAAGATAGTATCAACAGTTCTACATTTAAAATTTAGAATGCAGAAAGATTCAGAGTAAGAGATGAAGTCTCTATTAGCACACAGTAATGTTTCCAGAAGCACTCCTAAGGACTTCTCATATTTTGTTAAATTGAATTGGGTCACAAGCCCTTTGCTAGGCAAATTTCTAGGAAAAAAACCCAAATAATTTTCTTATCTAGATTAAACTAATTATATGGGTGGAATGGATATTGGAGTGGCATCCACTCTATCCAATAGGCAAATTAGTTCTTTAGAAACTATTATATCATTGCAGTTCAGTGGTCAATATGTTCAATTTTAAAAATGTAAGTGATTTTATTTGATGTAGATCTAGTAAATAATTATTTATGTAAATCTAGTAAATTGTTATCATTTCTTTTTGTATACATGGGAATGAATGAAGGCTTTCTTCTGTTCAAGTGTAGTCATTTTTCTCATGATGCTATGTATTCTCATGCTATTAATTGTGACCTGAAATAAAATTAATTATAATATGTTAATGAGTTTTAAATTAACTTTTGATCTTTTCAGTAGAGGAGAAAGTTCAAACCAGATATCATCATCCTTTTCCTGGGAAAAGTTTTTGATTTTCAAAAATAAATATAAACATGTATTTTAATATAGCTAAGATTCCTTAATTCTCCAAAAAATTATATTTTATGTGATAATCATTAAAAAACTGAATATGCCTAGATTAATTTACTTATTTTCTCAACAACTACAACACATTTCAATAATGTTTCTTTTTATTATAGTGAGCCAAGGAGGTGTTGCATTGGTCTCTGACATGTGTCCAGACCCTGGGATTCCAGAAAATGGTAGAAGAGCGGGTTCTGACTTCAGGTAGGAGATATAATAATGGTTGGGAAAGTATGTAATTTTTAACACATATGTAATTTTAACTTTCCATTTTGTTTAAATCCTTTGATTTTTATTTAAAGGCACAACTTCTCAATCATTATGGAGCTATATTATTTGTAGAACTCTGAAATATATCATGCTGAAAAATTCCAAATATTCTGGAGTTGACACATTATACTATATGGTTCAATAATAAAAATTTAACTCTAACTTTGTATGTTCAAAATTTGTCTTTATGTTTTTGTTTTCTGTTTTCAATATGTTGCCATTATATCGTCATGCCTTCAATATTTAAAAAATAGAGGAGAAAATTTAATTATTGCCTCAAAATTATTTTATCAAGTAGGCTTTTAAAATAATTAATGTTAGTAGGAGCCAATGCAGTTTATTCAGGAGATGTTTTGACTCATTTTACTGGGGTTATGATGAATAGACTAGGATTATTTCATAACTAAGATTATTAAATCAGAGACTGATTTCCAGTTGCTGTTTTATGAATCCAGTAGTGCTTATAATAGACATACTACTTTTAATTTTTGCATGTATTTCAATAAGTTCAAGAAACAACAGTTTCCACCTAGCAAGATGGATACCAGTATTAGGAATAGCTATAACACCAAAGAGTAAAGGGAAGCAAGTAGTATGTTTTTTCTACCTTACAATCTCACTATTCTTGAGAGAGAAAAGACAAAGATCCATGAAGACAATGAAGACTATTCAAGTGAGCTAAAAATTGAAAAATAAATAGTAATACAAGGATATAAAGAAAAAGGAATGAAATTTAGTTAAACTTGAGTAGTAATGGTGTTTTTTTAAGGATAGAAAAGTAAAACCATGCATAATATGCCTGTAATGAAGCTGGTAAAATGGTATAGTCTTATAGTGAATATACAGAAGTCCAGATGTGACAGTATAGATCACTGGGATTGCTATAGGTTAAATATTATAAATAATGACTATTAAATTAAGGAGTCAGTGGTTTTATTTGTGTTTCTTTGAGGCAGAGTCTGACAGGAGGATTCTAATTCAAGTGATTTTTCTGGAGAAGTTCTCTCCAGAGGATGGGAATAGAGAAAGTAGGACAGAGTCAGAGCAAGAAACTAAGCAAGAAGTGGTTTTAACCTGACTAACCTTGGACTGTTAACACAGGACGTTCTGGGGCACAATTTGCACCAACAAACAGGCCCCACGTTTTGTACCACTGTCCTGCCTGTCAATCATTGGCTTCCTTCTTTTAGCTCAAGAAAGTTCTCCAGAAAAAGAGTTGATTGTGAATAAATATTTTCAGTCCCAGTGAGAGTGGTGCCTGGACGCACCAGCTAGTAACAGAGGCTCAGGGACACTTACAGCATCCATCTCAGCCAGGATTTGGTCAAGAAAAGTAACTAAGAGAGGGAGATGCTGGCTTTTAGGATCATATAAAAAAGCAGTCACTTGAAGACATTCAGGAAATATATCTCTTTTGAAAACAAAGCAATTAGATGAAAGTACATATCCTTCCAAGGGTTTCTAGTCTATGCATTTCTTGTATCAAAAGTCACCTTTTCCATGCACTTTTTATTGAGAGAAAAAAATTTTTCATGCTTCTCTTCCAAAAAACCTTGTGTATGCCTCTATTAGAGTTGACAACAATGAGTTATAATAATGTGTTTGCATGCCTACTATCCCACGTGACTGTAGTTTCTCCAGGATGGTGATAGTGTCTTATTTATCTCCGCCTCTTAAGTGACTGAAACAACGCCTGACACAAAAGAAACTCAACATTAATTTGTCAGATAAACATTATATATGAGGGAAACTGCCTATGCAATGCATTGCCAGCCCAGAAATTTAGAAACGCCCTTGGTCTATTTTGCAGAATTCTATTTTTTTTTTTTTTTTAGTGAATTAAATTATATTTGACAATGCTAAATTCTTCAAATTACATTCCGTGGTAAAGAGAGCCAGAGAAAGTACTTATGCTTTAAAAGTTAACAGAAACATTGTGAATGTTCAAGCTTGTATCTATTCAGCACAAGGGTGACAATGAAATTTTTTATAGTTATCTTGGATGAATATTCTAATCTGTCCTCCATTTTATCATTATAACAGATTTATTTCTGAAGAAGATGTTAAATGGCAGGATAAACATTAACTCTAAGGGCTGTGTTGATCTGGCTGGGGTGGGGATAGAAGGACAGTCTGGCTGTGCAGATATGTGGCTAGTCAAGGGTAGGATGCAGAATCTTATTTCAGAAGAGAATTTCAAACTTTCGCTTTCTTAGTTTTTTCTGGAATTTCTATGTTGTTTACATGTCAGCAAGCTCGTGGCTATGACAATCAAATAGTGTAACGCCTGGTCAAATGACCAGAAATATTAAATTTTTTTGCTAAATTAAATACACATGTAAAACATTTTATTGTAGATTTCATAGAACTTTCTTCCTAGATGATCCTGTCATTTGCAAATAGCAATTTTAATTTTTACTTTCCAATCTTAATATCTTTTATTTCTTCATCTTACTTGAATGCACTGACTAGAAACGATGTTACAAGATTGAATAGAAATACTGGCACATCCCTGCCTTATTCCTGAGTTTACATGGAAAGTGTTCTGACTTTAATTATAAGTGAGATATTAGTTGAAGACTTTTCGTATATATCCTTTATCAGGTTGGGGAAATACTCTTCTATTTGTAGTTTGCTGAAATTTGCATTTTTAAAAAAATCAGAAATGGGGACCAAGTATTTAAAAGTAATTTCTTCATCTATTTGGATTATTGTTTCTTTGTTTAGTTTGTCAATATGATGAATTAATTGATTTTTTAATGTTAAAAAAACCTTGTGTTCTAGAATAAGATAAATTTAATTAAAATGTCTCATATTTTTATATACTGTTGGATTTAATTAGTACAATTTTGTTAAAATTTGGTACAAGTATGTTCAAGAGTAACATTGGGCTATAGTATTTTATTGTAAAGACTTTGATTTTGTTATCAGAGTAATGATGGTCTCATGAAATGAATTGCAAAATGTTCTCTCTTCTGGAATATCCTGGAAAAGTTTGTGTATAATTGTTAATGTTTCATCCTAACGTATTTGGAAGAATTCACCAGTGAAGCCATCTGGAATTCTTATGGCAAGGTTTTTTATAAACTACAAATTCAACATTTTTTTCTACTTATAGCTTTATGCAGGTTATCTATTCCAACTTGAATGAGCATTATAGATTTTTCAGAAAAGCTTAACAGTTTTTCTAAGTTTTCAAATGTATTGGCATAAAGTTACTCCTAATATTTTCTTCTTAAGTCAATAGTGATTCACAGTTTAAATTTTTGATAGTCTTATTATTTTACCTGATCCATCTGGTAGTAATATGTCAATGTCATTGATGTTCTCCAAAAAATACACACATTTGGTTTCACATATTTTTGTCTGTTGTTTTATTTTGTCATCAATTTCATTGCTTTGATGTTTTATTTTATTCCTCTGCTTACTCTCAGATTCGTTTTTCATTTTCTAGTTTCCTAAAGTTGAAGCCAAGATAAGTGATTTAAAACCTTTATGTATTTATGTTTTGCTAAATGTGGGTATTTAGCGTTATAAAATTTCCTCTAGGAACTACTTTGATTGCATCCTACAATTTTGATATGCTGTGTTTTTCTTGCCATCATTAAAAATATGTTCTGTTTTCCCTTGTGATTATTTTTTTGTTTCATGGGTTATTTAAAAGTGTGCTATTTAGTTTCCAAAAATCAGGGAATTTTGAAAGTATCTTTGTAGGTAAAGAAAATATATTGATAATGACTTTATGGCTGATAATATGCTTTATCTTGATTAATGTTCCATGTGTACTTGAAAAGAACATACATTCTGACAAGAAGTAAAATTTAAGTGTTATCATCATAGAAATGATGACTGTGAGGTAATGCAAAGTTGCTTTTTAAAAATTTGTAAATTTTATTTTTATTATAGAGATTTTATTTGTCAATTTAAAAGATAAAGTAAGACATTTTTAAGAGGCAAAAGGAAAAGAAAAGAACACATGTTCTGTTGTTATTGGGTGGAATGTTCTCTAAATGTCAGTTAGATCAACTTGGTTGTAAAAGTTATTCAAGACTTTGAGATCTTTACTGATTTTCTGATCACTTGTTCAATCTCTTATTGAAAGAGATATATCAAAACTACCTACTGAGGTTGTAAATTTGTATAGTTTTCATTTCAGCTTTGTTATTTTTTGCCTCATGTATTTTGGAATTCTGTTATTAGGAACATAAATATTTTAAATTTCCATGTATTTTTGTTCAAGTCATGTCTTTGATGTTGGGAATTGACCCTTTTTACCTTTAGTCATATTTTGGCTTGGAAATAAAATTTGTCTTACATTAACATAGCAATTTTAACTTTCTTTTGATTATTGCTAGTATAATAAAACTATATATGAATTCTTATATCTACTTCTGCTTTCAATCAGTTGCACAATATTGTTTTGATTAAACATTTTTTAAAAATCTAGCCTCATATATAGTAGAAAAGGGATGAATATTTTAACAAACCTTTAAAATAATTATGTGTATTCTCTTTTGATATTGTATCAAAAATCAACAAATATCATCTTAAATTTTTGTTTCAGTGTGGAATATTTTTAAATAACTTTGTATTTTTAATATAAAAATCTATTTATCTAGCTACTGTCATAAATTAATATTTTTACAGGCATGATTTTACACCATAATACATGGTTCATTTTAGAAAAAGATTCCTTGAATTATGAATTCTTCCAAATATGTATACATTTCACTAAAAAATATTTTAAAAATCACATTTGTCAATATACCAAGTCCCTCATTAAAAAATTCTTAAGCATTGAGAAACTGTCAAGTACATAGCCATAGATACAGTTTTTGAAAATGTTCTAATTTGTATTAGACAATTTTAATTTTTTCATGGGCTCAAATTGTCAGTCATTTTCCTTGAAGTGAAAGTTTCATTCATTTATTTCT